GGCCCCAAATAATTGTTTATTTTGATGGGTCAAGATTCTTAGAACGCATGTAATATAATCTATGGTGGACAAGTTTGAAGGAAAGGTTTTTCCTTATGTATAGGATTTTTTCCCTAATTAGGAACAATACTTTTTAAAATTTTGTGTGCTTTTTAAATATTTTATTGTAAGACACATTATTCATAAGAAGAAGGCACAAAGCCTATTATTTAAAAAATCATGAGAATAAACATCTGTGTAACCATCACTCAAAATTGAGCAATGAAACATGCCAGGCCCCTCCCCAATTATAACCTCTTCCTTCCTAGGGATGACCTCTACCCTGAGTTTATAATATACTTTTCAGATTTCCAATTTAATGACCAATTTTTAACTCTCTGAATTTTCTCACCCTCAATAGGAAAGACCTTTCTCTAAGATTTTGTGAGGTCTGGGGCAGAGGCACAAAGGGAAGACTAAATACCATACACCTACATATTTATTTATGTTTATTTTTGGCACTTGGCCAGTACTGGGATCTGAACCCTTGACCTTGGTGTTATCAACACCACATTCTAGTCAAGTGAGCTAACTGGCTAGCCCCTAAATATTGAAAAGTTACAATAAATCAGGTTAATAAAGTGATTAATAGATACAAAATGTATCCAATTCTACTATCTTAATAATTATACCTTTGTAATGACCTGGAAGCTCTTATTTAGAATTCTGGACTTCTGAGAGACACCTGCCTGAACATGGTAGAGTAAGGAAGAGGCACACGGCCCTCACTAGCCTATTTCTCTTCCTGCCCCAAGATCCTTTCTGTATTGTGAAGGTCCCACCCATGCACAGGCAGAAATTCCAGCCCACACATTTGCACACCCCTACTCCAAAAGGCCACCTACTGGGCCCTGCAGAAATAACAGTGGGCACACAGTCCACAAAATTAGGAGCATGGGCCTGGGGAAATGCATGTCCTGGTTTCCATGCAGGGCCTGGAAATAGGCTTGAAGCTGCCTGGGCAAAGAATCCCAGGGTCTTGGGTAGCCAGCACATGATCTAGAATGGGGACATGGCTCCTCCTAAGCCCATAACTTTTGGTCCATGGTCTTCTCACTCTGTGCAGGAAAAGGACCAAAGCAAGATCCTCTAAAAAGCAGGACTCGAGGCAGCACCCCACTTTGTTAGGTCTAAGGGCAGTATTGAATAGGAACGACTCAGTAAGAAGAAAAATTTAAATTTTGCCAATATTAAAACATTCTCTTTGATAGTTAACTTTATGTGTCAACTTGGAGGGTGTTTTTAGATGACATTAACATTTCGATGAGTGAACTCTGGGTAAATCAGATTGCCCACCACAATGTGGGTGGGCCTCATCCAACCAGCTGAAGGTCTGAATAGAACAGAGATCAGTCTTCTCCAAGCACGAGGGAATTCTCCAGCAGCCTGCCTTCCGACTTCATCTGCACAATGGGCTCTCCTGGGTCTCTAGGCTTCCAGCCTTCACACTGGAACTGCACCATCTGCTCTCCTGAGTCTCCAGCCTGCTGGGCCATACTGCAGATTTGGACTTGCCAGCCTCCTTAATAACTTCAGCCAATTCCTTATTGCAAACCTCTTTTAAATATGTACATAAACCCTATTGCTTCTATTTCTCTGGAGAACTCTAATACATTCTCCCAAATCATAAATGGTTTATAGTTATTTTTCTTTCTACTCTTGAAGAATAAGGCTGATCAAACACACTTTGTTTTGTTTTCTTTGTGACAAAGGATGATATAACCATGTAAATAAAAAACATCCTGGTGCAAATTTCTTTTAGAAACATCCTTGAGTTTTTCCAGGTATGTCAAAATAAGAAGAAAAACTCTATTCAGCTTCCTCACAGAGAAAAAATGCTTAACCATGGCTGGTTTTGAGGATGGTAGAACTTAAAATCTGGGCATGAGAGGAACACTGCAACATAAAAATTACACTCATAGATATTAGGCATTCCCAAATGCTCTGTTTTTCTAAATAGACTATAAAATAGAGTAACCTATTTTTTGAAATTGTTATGCTCTCTTTACATTGTGCAGGACACCTATTATACAAAGTTTGTTTGAAAATGAGCTGTTTAGATTTCCTGTTTAATATTAGCAGCTGCTTCTTGCTGGAGCTGTCAAACATTTCAGAGGAAGAAAATGGACGGTCTATAAAAATAAAATAATTGAGCAACTTCTCATTAACCTAAAAAGCACTACTGAAAAAAAAAAAGGGCAACCTACTCTATCTAAAACTTTTGTCATTGCATTTATTCTTTTAAAATGATTTCCAGAATGTTATTTCTTCATTCTTAAAATATAGTTATTGATTGGTAGAATATATTCAGAATGTACGAAGCCTCATGGGTAAGTCCAGCACTCAGAGGTAATGACAAAGTTTAGAGGTAATTTTTAAAGACATTTTTCCATATTTTTCTGGGTTGTTTTTGTTTTGATGGCTGGCCTGTATGGGAATCCAAACCCTTAATGTGTTAGCAACACCACACTGTGACCAAGTGACCTAGATGGCCAGCCCTGACATTTTTCCATACTAAGAGAGAGAGAGAGAGAGAGAAAAAGAGACTGACATTTATATTTGAAAACAACGATAACAGGTTCATGATAAACACCAACTATTTAACTCTTTATCTACTGTCAATGATTTCCTGATTTTTAAACATAATGACAAATATAACACTTGCTTAGAGAAAATGGAAGAACAAAGAAATGCACAGAATGGCACCCCAAAGTGCCCAATCCCAATTCTTACTCTCAGGAGTCACTATCATTATATAATGACAGTCATTATATTTTATAGTGATAGTCATTATCACTATCATTAGCTTCTTTTATTGTAAGAAATTAAGAAAGAAGTCTTAGTTATTTACCTCTCCTAATTTCTTAGTAGGGGAAGAATGTGGGCACCCTCTATTCATCTGAGATAAATTCTCCACAAAGCAATAAGTACAGTTTCATACTTTCATTCTAAAAATGCTAATCTCTTCCCCTTCCCCATCTCCCAAATCATGAATCTTCATGTTCAATTTCTTTCAAACAAATGCAGTGCTCTCAATACCAAAGCATTCCTCTTTCTTTTATCAACCAAAGAAATCTTACTCTAGCCCCATCCCTATTCATACATAAGCTATAACTTAATATGAACTATTAATACAACTGCTCTGTACTTGAGTGTCTCTCCTTTAAATAACTTGACGGAATTCCGTGTCCTTGGGTAAATAAGAGTGGAATGGCTGCATCACATGGTAGGTATAAGTTTAACTTTTCAAGAAAATGCCAAACTGTTTTCTAATGTAATTTTATCATTTTGCATTCCAGCCAGCAGCATGTGAGAATTCCAGTTCTTCTACATCCTTGTC